TGTTTTGCTATACAGCGCTACACTTGTTTAACTGACAATTGCACGGTCATGCAATACGGTACATGAATGAAACTTACGTCCTTTTTTCACACAAATAGAGCTTTCTTTCGGTGGTATTTGATCACCTGTGCGCTTTTTTATCTTTTGCGCTATAGAAAAAAAAAGACTGAAATTTTGAAATAAAAGGGTATTTTCTCATTTCTGTCATAAAAAATGTCCAAAAAACTAAAATGGTGTCATAAATTTAGGCTAAAATATATTCTGCTACATGTTTTTGGTAAAAGAAATCCCAATAAGTGTATATTGATTGCTTTGTGTAAACGTTGTAGCGTCTACAAACTATGGTATAGATAATGGAATTTACGCAGCTTTTACTTTCTGACTGCCCATCACATTTCTTGAGGTGCTAAAATACCAGGATAGTACAAACACCCCCAAATGACCCCTTTTCGGAAAGAAAGCTATCCTGGCATTTCAGGGCCTCCGAAACTGTAATAGGTAGAAGTGTAATGAGGAAATAAAGCCATTTAAAAGCCTGAAGGTGCTTATTGAATTTTGGGGTCCTGTGCTTGGCTAGACTGCCAAAAAATAACTATTTTTTAGTAAATTTCCAAAAACTTGTGGTAAAAAGTATACATTCTTCTATTGACTCAGCATACCTCTCAGCAAATACAGTAGATAGGGGGTGCCTACTTTCCAAAAAGGGGTCATTTTGGGGGGTGGGGGCATTTTATGCCCAGCATTTTTATTATTATTATACAGGATTTATATAGCGCCAATAGTTTGCTCAGCGCTGATTTAGAAGTTTATGTCACTCACTCTTCTAACCACCTGAAGACCAAGCCTTTTCTGACACTTTATGTTCACATGAAAAAAATCTGTATTTTTTGCTAGGAAATTACTTTGAACCCCCAATCATTATATATTTTTTTTAAAGCAGACACCCTAGTGAATAAAATGGTGGGTGCTGCAATTTTTTTTATGTCAGATAGTACTCTCGCAGCGAATTTTCAAACTTATATTTAAAAAAAAAATACACTTTTTTACTTTTAATGCACAAAAACACAATATATTTGCCAACTATTTGGTAACATATACACCGTGTTCCAAATTATTATGCAAATTATATTTTTCTCATTTACCTAAATAATTGATGTAAATAACAGTCAGCATAATTCTCATGTTATCAACTATTAAGAGTACAATTCAAATTTTATTGAACAAACCTCCTAATGATAACAGTATTTATTTTAAACATAAACAACTTACAATGCACTGTTCCATATTATTCCGCACAGTAAGTTTCAAAACACTTTATAGGTTGTAAAGAACTGAAAATTGTCATTTGTTGTGTTTGCAGGATATTTACTGAAATCAAAAGCTATTTCAATCAAATTTTTAACAACATTTTAACTTTTTAAACATTTAAACAGGTCACGTTACATTTTAACATAGGAGCCCTTATTTGATAGCAGCTTCACAAGTCTTGCATCCATTGAACTTGCGAGTTTTTGGAGAGTTTCTGCTTGAATTTGTTTGCAAGATGTCAGAATAGCCTCCCAGAGCTGCTGCTTGGATGTAAACTTCCACCCACCTCATAGATCTTTTGATTGAGGATGCGCCAAAGATTCTCAATAGGTTTGAGGTCAGGGGAGGATGGAGGCCACACCACAACTTTCTCTCTTTTTATCCCCAGAGCAGCCATTGATGCAGAGGTATTCTTTGCAGCATGAGATGGTGCATTGTCATGCATGAAGATGATTTTATTACGGAAAGCATAGTTCTTCCTTCTGTACCAGGGAAGAAAGTGGTCAGTCATAAACTCCACATACTTTGCAGAGGTCATCTTTACACCTTCGGGGACCCTAAAGGGGCCGACCAGCTCTGTTCCCATGATTCCGGCCCTAAACATGACTCCACCACCACCGCCTTGCTGATGTCGCAGCCTTGTTGGAACAGGGTGGCCGTCCACCAACCATCCACTACTCCATCCATCTGGACCATCCAGGGTTGCATGGCACTCGTCAGTAAACAGGACTGTTTAAAAATGAATCTTCGTGTATTTTTCTGCCCAATGCAGCCGTTTCTGCTTGTGAGCATTGGTTAGTGGTGGCCGAATAGAAGGTTTATGCACAGTTGCAAGACTCTGGAGGACTCTACACCTTGATGTCCGTGGGACTCCAGAGGCACCAGCAGCTTCAAATATCTGTTTGCTGCTATGTAATGGTATTTTAGCAGCTGCTCTCTTGATCCGATGCATGGATCTGGCAGAAATCTTCCTCAATGTGCCTTTATCTGCAGGAACCCGTCTGTGCTCTGAATCAGCCACAACTCTCTTAATAGTGCGATGATCACGCTTACATTTCGTGAAATATCTAATGTTTTCATACCTCGTCCAAGGCATTGAACTATTTCACTCTTGTCGGCAGCAGAGAGATCCTTTTTCTTCCCCATATTGCTTGAAAATGGTGCTCTGCTTAATAATGTGGAACACCCTCCTTTAGTAGTTTTTCCTTAAATTGGGCTCACCTGGCAATCTAATTATCACAGGTGTCCGAGATTGTTTTCAGTGATCAAAAGAGCCCTGAGACACAAGGCCATCCATGAGTTAAACTGAAAAACAAAATATTTCATCTTTGTGACACTTAAATAGAATTTGCATAATAATTTGGAACAGGGTGTAAAAGATGATGGTATGCCGAGTAAATAGATACCAAACATGGCATGCTTTAAAACTGAGCATTCCCCGTGCAATGGCGAAAAACTACATACAGTTTTAATATCCATAGGCAACGCTTTAAAAGCCTGCACAAGCTATCATTTTAGATTTACAAAGGAGGTCTAGTGCTAGAATTACTACTGATGTTCCCACCTCCAAACTTCACAGTTGGTATGGTGTTTTTGGAGTTACTATTGCTTGGTACAGGAATGGGCCCTGCTTTAATTTGATTGTGATTAGCGCTGCAATTTGTGTATTATATATTATTTATATTGCCTTTTATGCGAGTTGCTTTTCTTTGATTTTTATTTGAAATATTTTTTTTCATTATTTTTTGTATAATATCTAAGCGCAGGTTTAATTGGTTTTATCATATTCCATAGCTGCCATATCCTAGATACACCACTGTGAATGGAATTCACTTATAAACAATGTATCACGGTCATAATAAAACTATCATACATCTCACGGCCAGACTGGAGTTCACTATTTAGTGATGTCTAGTATAGAACCACTACAAATAAATATTTTATAATCAGAATATTTTGACTTTTGTCTATTTATTAGGTCAAAAAAATCCAGCAATGTTGAACATGTTTTAGAGGTCTTAGGATGCCTTCTTCATCAGGGCTTCTGTACCTTTTGTTGCCTGCCAAGAAATGCTGGTTAAAAATGGCCATAGCTTGTTCATGTCAGTGTGAAAAACTGTTTTTTTGGCTCTCGCTATGTCCACAGAACTTCCTCCACTCCGGGAACAGTACATAGGTAGTATGCTGAAATTTGTTTATGAATTCTTTTGCTACCTAAGGACCTATTCACACTGTTCTTTTTTATATACTCTACAATGCTGAATCAAAGCGCATGATAACTCGAGTTACCATTGTAATCTACCGTATGAAGCTGTTTATATCAGTGTTAGAGGAAACTACTCTACTTTTTGAAAACTTCAGCTTTCTGCATCTTTTGTGCATTTTTGGTACAAATGCACTTTACAATATAGTCAAAGGCAACACATGGAAAAACGCACTAAAAATTCAAAATGCATTAGCGCATCTTTTAAGTCACGTGTCAAATTTCAAAGGAAAAAAATGCATGTAAAATACATGTAACCCAAGCTTTGCTTTGCATTATATTTTAATGCAACACATTAAAATTGCATTCAAAACAGATTATGCTTTTTGATTAAAATTCATGTGCTTTTTTAAAGCTAGCCATAGATGGATCGAATCTCAGCCGATTCAGCAGGGACCAGCCAAGTTTCGATCCATCTATGAGTAGGCTGATTGTACTGAAGTCAATTGATTGATTTTAGTACAACCAGCCTGTCTGATTTTTTTTCAAGTGAATGCTGTAGGCAGCTATAGCCGACAGCAGTGGTTTTTGTGTTCTGTTGGTGGGGAAGGCTCCCAGCAGGCAGAACACAATAGCTCTGGGATCTGAGGGATTCCCCATCAATACTGACTGTGTTTATGGGGGAATCAAGCTATTTTCTGTGTTGATGGGGGAGTCAAGCTATTTTCTTTCCTTCCACCTGTGATGAAAGGAAAGAAAGTTGCATAACCTATGGGCTCCTTAAAGGATAAGTTCACCTTTTACAACATGTTACATGTTACACCTGTATTCAGGGTATAACATGTAACATGCTTCTGTTGCAGCAGCCCCCCCCCCCCACCCAATCCCCCATTGTGACAGTGAGCAGGATCCTCTCCCCACACCTGCTGTCATATTTTTACAAATACGCGGCCGTGCGGGGACCCGCCCACCTGCCCGCAGCATTTACTCACGTGTTCTGTAAATGGGAGAACTTCAAGTATCAACAGCCTTTTTGGCTGTCGACTTGTAGTTCCCAATGAGATGATGAGAGCTCCAGGTAGTTTATTGATGCTCCCTGTCATTATGTAACTGAGAGTCTGCAGGAGCCTTGTATTGCATCTGCGTTCTGCTGATCAGGGGTGGACTGACCATTTGGAAACTCCGGCACTGCCCAAGGGCCCGGGGTCAGTAGGGGGCCCCATGAGATGCCCCTGGTACCTTTTTTATAGGCTTTCTTGAGTTTGGGCAAGTACACAGGGGCCCCATGATCCCCTATTGCCCAGGGGCCCCATGAGTTGTCAGCCTATCCCTGCTGCTGATCATGGGTGCAATGCTTTGCAGGCTCCTAGTAAAAAAATTAAATAATAAATGCACTTTTTTACCTGCAAAAAAAATTAGTATTATTTTTTTTTGTTAACAAAGCTGAACATATCCTTCAACACAGTGGTGTGAACACAGCCTAATGTGTCTATTCTTTACAAGCTATGCAGAACACAGTTGAGTCAAAATCACACAGATCATTCTTCGCCATTCTTTGGGAAACCTCCAAATGGCTGATGATAAACCCCTCATTACTGAGTATACTTCTCAAGTTGCTTTCATTATACTTGACAACATGGAACTTGTCTCCGCCAACCATATAGAAAGTGCCATTTAAAAATCCATAATACAACAAGTGTCCGCCAGGTTTTAGAAGCTTTGAGAATCTCCTGAAGTTTCTCACAAAATCTTCAAGGTCTTTGCTGATGGCTTCCAGAATAGAGGTGAGCACAAGGCAGTCAGCTTGTGGAAGCACCACTGGGTCGGTGAGATTTTCCTGGTCAAGATCAAATTTTAGAACATGGGTAATGGCGTCCCTGAGTCCAATTTCCTTGTCCTCACATTGCACACTGAAAGGGAGAAGCACATCTAATGTCACATAAAAGATTCAACAGATATTCTGTGGGGCATTGAGTATATTAGGTCTCAGCAGGTGAAATGCTGCTAACATTTCTAATCTGTAGATGGCTATTCATAGCGAGAATACATAAAACTGGAGAAAGGAAGAATGGAATGTTGCTATGTTGGGCATTTTTGATTTTTTTTTTTTTAAAAAAACTAGAATAATTGAAGATTGAAATAAATAAACATATAAATAAATCAAACTCATTCAAAGTGGTTGTAAAGGCAGAAGGTTTTTTACTTTAATGCATTCTCTAAATTAACTAGTTGCAGTATATGTACTGCAGGTGGGTGGCAGCTACAGGCTAAGGGATGTATCTGTACGTTGTTTAGCATGTAAGCATTGGTGCACCACCTCGGGCACGCAGCATGCCGCTTCCGTGACCGCTCTGTCCACAGGACTCAGTGGATTGTGGATCCCAGTACCCGGCTGCATTCGGCAGCCGGGATTCGGCAGCCGGGAGATCATGTGATCTCTATGCAATCACATGATCATAATGTCAACAAAACTGTTATGAACGAATTAATTCATAACAGCTGTGCCCCACAGCTATCACATGGTACCTGGGCCAGTCACAGCACCCTGTACCATGTGATTAGCTGTAGCCAATCACAGATCACTAGTAATCACAGCTGTCATGAATGTAACCCATTCATGACAGTGCAAAACCTTGCTGTGACAGTGATCATCATTGTAACAGCAAATAAGTGTCAAAACAATCCATGATCACCCCCTTTGGTAGTACAATGTCAAAATGGTGAAAAAAGTATGTAAAACCCACTGCACAGAGCAGGTAGGTATGACATGTTTATTATTTTTAAAAAATGTACCTTTACAATCAATCTTCATTTGAATCACTAATTCTGATCACCTTATCTATATATCTATCTTCATGCTCTTTTCTCCTTTACTTCTCCTCTCCTTTACGCTCCTTTCCTCGTCTGGTCTCCTGTCCTCTTTTAACTGGATGCACATCCCTTCCTCGGTATTTTGTCAGGGAGTCTAGTATGCCCATAATTTGGGTTTCCTAAGTAGTATTTAAGGTCCCAGTGGGAATTGCTTTGGGTTGGTTGGTGGAATGGAGTAGGCTGTAAGTGTGTGAGGATGGTTTCTCTGGGTTGAAGAGAACAGTACCACTATATGAACACCAATCTCGTCTCCAAATATTACCCAAACCGTCCTCTCCGCTCCTCCCATGACCTCCTACTTTCTAGCTCCCTTGTCTCCTCCTCCCATGCTCATCTCCAGGACTTCTCCAGAGCCTCCTCCATCCTCTGGAACGCTCTACCCCAATCCATCAGACTATCGCCTACTCTGCCCACTTTTAGGCGATCTCTCAAAACCTATCTCTTCAGAAAGCCTATGCTGCCTTCAGCTAATTATGGAAACTTCTATTCCTTCTACCAGTCCACACCCCACAGTTATTACCTTTTGTACCACCAGCCCCTCCCTCTTAGATTGTAAGCTCCAAGGAGCAGGGCACTCCTAAACCTCTTGTATTGAACTGTACTGTTGCTGTATTGTCTCCCATTATTTTGTAAAGTGCTAAGAAAATTGTTGGCGCTATATAAATCCTGTATAATAATGATAATGTGAACATCTTTGAGTGCTTTCCCCTCTGGGAGATAGCGAGGGCCTCCTTCCCAAAAGAGATGGGGAGTAAAAAAGAAGGCTCTTGTGATTTGCCAGAGACACTGGACTCTGTGTGATGCAAGATGTTGGTACTAAGGCTCTTCTTCTGATAACTATGCTTGCATAAACAATTCTATGCTGTTTACACTGTGGAAGAAAATTGTGCTTCACCTCTGTAGCACTACCCCCAAAGGACCCACTGGTGATTGGGCCTATTTCCCCTTTACAGCACCAACAGCCAGGCACACGTTATTTTCTGCACTCTTCCTCAGGCTCAGTAAAGTCAGGGGGTTTTTATTGAGGGACCAATGAACTTGGATCGGGTTAGGAACATGGGATACCCCACACTGTCGAAAACTGCAGAATTTTGTACAACATAGAGGACAGATAAGCTCCTGGCTGTACTGTACAGGTTGCCAGCTGTCTCGCACAGCCATAGGCTGCAAAGTCGTCCTGTAATTCTACTAGTACTGGGGAGTAGTAGTAGAAGTAGTACTAGTAGTAGCAGCAGTAGAAGTAGCACAAAGCCTGTTTGTCTTGCACTGCACTGGCTGCATATTCAGTCACTGACAAATGGTGTGCCATTGGTTGTCTGGCACTGCTTTCGGTTGCACCCGGTCCTGAATTGTGAGATATTGCACTCCATAGTCACTTCTTTTGTAAGTATGACTGGATTAAGTCCCAAAACATGGTCCTTCCCCAGTCCCAAACATGAAGCTTCTACTCTCCAGAACTCCTGGCTCTTGACTCCACAAAGTCCCAGGCTGTCTCAATCTAGTAGGGTCTCCAAGTAAACCTAGTTGGGACTTGGATGGTTGCAACAACTCCCGACGCCCTCTTTTCCTTTTTCTTCCTCTCTGTCCCTGGAGCAGAGCCCCCAGCATACAGGTCACCTCCAGAGGGATGGACCCTGGACTCTGCTCTCCAAGCTACCATTTCTCAGAGTATTTATGCATTTTCCCTCCACCTACTGAGCATGCCTCTTCAGAAATAGGCTGCAGATCCATAAATAGTCAGACTGCCAACCCTGCTCTACCTCCCACTATGTTCTGGAACACTCCAGAAGATGGGGGAAGCAACAGGCCAGCAGCCCGTAAGACACGGAACAGCTCCTAACACATTTAACCCCTTTTCTGCTGTCTACAGAGGAGCCAATGTCAGGGACCGAGGAACCAGACACACAAGGAGGTGCAATTAAAGGTAGGTTTATTTACACAGAAACAAGGCAAGAGTCTATGCAAGTCCAACAGCAACAGCGGATGACTAGGTAGGACAGAAGTTCTCCTGCTGAGGTCGTCTTCCAGGATAATCAAGTCGAGAACCAGCGGGAATCGAGCCAAAGCCGGGGTCAGAAGCCAGGAAGAATGGTGAGCCGGGGTCAGAAGCCAAAGCCAGAGCCGGGGTCAGAAGCCAGGAAGAATGGTCGCCAGTGCCGGGGTCAGAAGCCAGGAAGAATGGTCGCCAGAAGCCAGGAAGAATGGTCAGAAGCCGGGGTCAGAAGCCAGGAAGAGTCTTAGCCAAAGCCAAGTCGGTATCCAGGAGAGCAAAGAGTTAACTAAACAGGAGCTTGCTGCTGTGCAACAGACAGGACACAAATGCAATGGACAGCTGCAAACAGCAGACTTAAATGTGATAAGCCGCCACCTCCTGGGGGAGGAGCCGCAGAGGGCTAAAAGCATAAAGGATCCCACAATGCTTTGCAGACCTAAGATGGATGCCAGGACATGGAGCAGCACAAGCCCTGAGGAAAAGTAGGACCTTGATAGCCAATTAATTTACCTAACAACTATCAAACTAGGAGGGTGCTACACCTCTGTTTGCATTGCTATAGAGTAAGACAACCTTGCAGCACAAGCATCAATATCTCTCTATGTAAATAGCATAATGTTTAACTGCCTTCAGGTCTGCACATTACTGTTATTACACACTGCTGTTATTGGGATCTTTTACCAAAAAGAAAGAATCTATAAGACAAGGAAGGAAGGGTCATACTCAGTAGGTGTCAGGAATGGACTTGCCAGTAATGGTGGGACTCACCTGCCTTGTGGGCTGCAGTACCAGGGCTGGCCAGCAGGTGCTCCCAGCAATCAGAGACTCAACCCTGCAGCCAGCCAAACACCTGAAGCTGATTATGCAGGTGTATTTAAGGGATGGCCAGACCTGCAGTCTCTGCCTTGGTGTGTGGTTTTCCTGGGCCCTGTATCTTGTTACCTGCATTCCTGTTCCTGTTCCTGTCTGACTGATTCGTTGCTGACCCTGCCTGATCCGGACCTCTGCTGACTTCTCCTGTTTTATCCCTGGCTTGTGACCCCGACCATTCTCCCTGTACCTACCTGCCCGATTGTTATTGACCCGGCCTGCCTGACGACGCTTGCATTGTATGTATTGTTATCTGTGGGTGGTTTGGTTTGGTTCGTTTGCACTGTGTTATGTTTTAGTATTGCACTGCGTTTATGTTTGTATTGTCAGTCTTTAATAAATTATATTTTTTATAACTTATCTGAAGCCTGCGTTTCTCTGCGTCAGTTCACATACCTCTGGTCATACCCTGGAGCCCTGACATTACACCAAGGCAAATCCTGACCAGAAGTGGCTGCACAGGGAAGCCATCTTGGCTTGTTGCTGGGAAGGATGCATCTTGATGAGGTTGTGTATTTGTCGCTGCTGGTTTTTGATGACAGAGAATATGCTTATCAGGCTCTGAGGGAGTATACCCGGGATCAACTGCTAGAATGTATACGGATCGCTCATGTTCTAGTAGATCAGGGCACAGAGTTCTCTGAGGTGCAACCTTTGATTCAGGTTTGTGTAGAGTTGGCTTCATCTGGTACCCCTGAAAGCAGGAATGACTTTTTGCCACCATTTAGTGCAGACCAGGTAGAGTCCCTGGTATGGTTATTAGAGGATGATGTGGATTGCTTCTTGGAGCATTATCTGCATGTTCACCACAGGTATTAAGGGATTGTATAAACGCAGTGCAGTCTTTGGTCAGACAGGCTTTGTGTAAGCTGAGCTTTGTTCAACCCATACTGCAGACGTGGTCAGACTTGTTGCACCCAGCCTCAGTCAGCTTGCAAAAACCCAGTCCTGCTTCTAATCTATTTCTTCAAAGCTCTATTCCTGCATTCCCAACAGCACCTCCAGTTACAGCCCAGTATACCCTGCTATCTACCGCATGTCAGTACCCTGTTCCCACTCGCTGCACCTATCCTGCCTTTAACCCTGTAAAGAAGCCCTCTGTAGCGACTGTTCCCTCCCCTGTTCCATCCTCCAGCTCTTCTCTGTCTCCAGCTGCTCCATCCGTTTACAAACCTGCGTTTACTTGCAGTGTTCCGGTAACTAAAACCAGGAAAAGGTGAGTTCTTTCCAACCAATACCATCCTGCCAGTATCCAAACCGGTCAGCCTCCCATCTGAAAACCTGCCTTCCGTGGTGCAGCCTGGTGCCTCGGCGCCCACAATTCAGCCTGATGCCCTACCCAGCCTGATGCCTCTACCAGCCTGATGCCTCTACCCAGCCTGATGCCTCTACCCAGCCTGATGCCTCCAGTCAGCCTGATGCCTCTACCCAGCATGATGTTTCTACCCAGCCTGATGAACTGATCCAGCCTGATGATTCCATTAGGCCAGTTGACTCGATGCCTGCTGTTGGGCCAGACGATCCAATGTCTGACCCAGTGCCCGCGGTCGTGCCAGTTGACTCGGAGCCCACTGTCGTGCCTGGTGACTCGGTGCCCACTGCCTTGCCAGATGACGCGGTGCCCGCTGGTGAGCCAAATGACCTGATGCCTGGTGACCCAGTGCCCGCTGTCATACCTGGTGACCCGATGCCCGCTGTCGAGCCAGACAATCCCATGCCTGATGACACGGTGCCTGCTGTCGTGCCAATTGACTCAGAGCCCACTGTCGTGCCTGGTGACTCGGTGCCCACTGCCTTGCCAGATGACGCGGTGCCCGCTGGCGAGCCAAATGACCTGATGCCTGGTGACCCGATGCCCGTCGCTTGTCGTGCCTGATGACCTGGTGCCCGCCGCTCCGCCTGAGGGCCTGGCGCCCGCCGCCCCGCCTGGGGGCCCGCCGCTCCGCCTGGGGGCCCCCGGCGCCCGTCGCTCCGCCTGGGGGCCCGACGCCCGTCGCTCCGCCTGAGGGCCCGATGCCGGTCGCCCCGCCTGGGGGCCCAATGCCTGTCGCTCCACCTGGGGGCCTGGGGCCCGATGCCTGTCGCTTCGCCCGGGGGCCCGGTGCCTGTCGCCCCTCCTGGGGGCCCGGTGCCTGCCGCTCCGCCTGAGGGCCCGGCGCCCGCGCTCCGCCTGGGGGTCCGATGCCTGTCGCTCCGCCTGGGGGCCCGATGCCTGTCGCTCTGCCTGGGGGCCCGGCGCCTGCCGCCCCACCTGGGGGCCCGATGCCTGTCGCTTCACCCAGGGGCCCAGTGCCTGCCGCCCCCCGCCTGGGGGCCCGGTGCCTGCCGCTCCGCCTGAGGGCCCGGCGCCCTGCCTGGGGGCCGATGCCTGTCACTCCGCCTGGGGGCCCGGCGCCCGCCGCCCCGCCTGGGGGCCCGGTGCCCGCCGGGCCCACCGCCCCGCCTGGGGGCCCGTGTCCGCCGCTCCGCCTGGGGGGCCCGGTGCCCGCCGCTCCGCCTGAGGGCCCGGCGCCCGCTGCTCCGCCTGGGGGTCCGATGCCTGTCGCTCCGCCTGGGGGCCTGGCGCCCGCCGCCCCGCCTGGGGGCCCGATGCCTGTCGCTTCGCCCGGGGGCCCGGTGCCTGCCGCCCCTCCTGGGGGCCCGGTGCCTGCCGCTCCGCCTGAGGGCCCGGCGCCCGCCGCTCCGCCTGGGGGCCCGATGCCTGTCGCTCCGCCTGGGGGCACGATGCCTGTCGCTCCGCCTGGGGGCCCGATGCCTGTCGCCCCTCCTGGGGGACCGGCGCCCGCCGCCCCACCTGGGGGCCCGGTGCCCGCCGCTCCGCCTGGTGGCCCGGTGCCCGCCGCTCCGCCTGATGGCCGGGGCCCGGTGCCCTGCTGCTCCGCCTGATGGCCCGGTGCCTGCTGCTCCGCCTGGTGGTCCGGTGCCTGCCTGCTGCTCCGCCTGGTGGTCCGATGCCTGTCGCTTCGCCCGGGGGCCCAGTGCCTGCCGCCCCTCCTGGGGGCCCGGTGCCTGCCACTCCGCCTGAGGGCCCGGCGCCCGCCGCTCCGCCTGGGGGCCCGATGCCTGTCGCCCCTCCTGGGGGCCCGGCGCCCGCTGCTCCACCTGAGGGCCCGGCGCCCCGCCGCCCCATCTGGGGGCCCGGCACCCGTCGCTCCGCCTGGGGGCCCGGCGCCCGTCGCTCCGCCTGGGGCCCGGTGCCTGCCGCTCCGCCTGGGGGCCCGGCGCCCCGCCTGGGGGCCCGGTGCCCGCCGCTCCGCCTGGTGGCCCGGTGCTCGCTCGCTGCTGCCCGCCTGATGGCCCGGTGCCTGCTGCTCCGCCTGGAGGTCTGGTGCCTGCTGCTCCGCCTGGTGGTCCAGTGCCTGCTGCTCCGCCTGGTGGGTCCGGTGCCTGCTCGCTGCTCCGCCTGTGATCCGGTGTCCAGCTCGATGTGCCTCTGCCCGGAGTCCAGCTCGATGTGCCTCTGCCCGATGTGCCTCTGCCCGAAGTCCTGCCCGATGTGCCTCTGCCCGGAGTCCAGCTCGATGTGCCTCTGCCTGGTGTGCCGCTGCCCGGAGTCCTGCCCGGTGTGCCAGTCTTTGATATCCCGCCAGTTACCAGACCCGAGCGGTGGAACATTTTGCCCAGCTAGGACTGTTTGGAGCGTCCTGAGGCCGCTCCTTGAGGGGGGGGGGGGTACTGTCAGGAATGGACTTGCCAGTAATGGTGGGACTCACCTGCCTTGTGGGCTGCAGTACCAGGGCTGGCCAGCGGGTGCTCCCAGCAATCAGAGACTCAACCCTGCAGCCAGCCAAACACCTGAAGCTGATTATGCAGGTGTATTTAAGGGATGGCCAGACCTGCAGTCTCTGCCTTGGTGTGTGGTTTTCCTGGGCCCTGTATCTTGTTACCTGCATTCCTGTTCCTGCTCCTGTTCCTGTCTGACTGATTCGTTGCTGACCCTGCCTGATCCGGACCTCTGCTGACTTCTCCTGTTTTATCCCTGGCTTGTGACCCCGACCATTCTCTGCCTGACCCCCTGTACCTACCTGCCCGATTGTTATTGACCCGGCCTGCTGACGACGCTTGCATTGTATGTATTGTTATCTGTGGGTGGTTTGGTTTGGTTCGTTTGCACTGTGTTATGTTTTAGTATTGCACTGCGTTTATGTTTGTATTGTTAGTCTTTAATAAATTATATTGTTTATCTGAAGCCTGCGTTTCCCTGCGTCAGTTCACATACCTCTGGTCATACCCTGGAGCCCTGACAGTAGGTATGGTGTTTGGTAAAAGTGGTGGTATAGACTACTCTGATCTTTGCAAGCTGGGGGCTCCAAATACTTCTGTAGGGAGAGGGCATGGGACACTATGTTTGCACCCACTATGAGCCTTAAAGTGGAGCTCCACCCAAAAGGGGAAGTTCCGCTTTAAGGCTTTGTCCCCCACTCCCTGTTAAGGATTGGCACCTTTTGGGGAGCGGGTACTAGAATTTGACAGGTACCCACTCCCACTTTCGATGTGATCGCCTAAGGTGATCGGAAGCGAAAGTTGTCCTCCCCCTCCCTTCAAGTAGTCTTCTGGGACATGTGACAGGTCCCAGAAGATTACAGGACCATTCACAAAGAGAAGCGCTACTCGCGCACATTTGGAAACTAGGGCACTGCCCGAGGGTCAGTAGGGGGCCCCATGAGATGCCCTTGGTACCTTTTTCATAGGTTTTTTTTAGTTTGGGCAAGGACACAGGGGCCCCATGATCCCCTATTGCCTGGGGGCCCCATGAGTTGTCAGTCCGCCTCTGCTCGCACATGTGCAGTGGGCACCCGGCTGTGAAGTTGCAAGCTGTCACAGCCAGGGGCCCACACTGCAGTTGCAAGTACAGGGGAGAGAAGACGGCTGGTGGAAGTAGCCATAGTGAGAAAACAGCTGGACCGAGGGACAGATAAGTGTCAGTATTTTAAAAGCCAGCAGCTACAGTTTTTGTAGCTGCTTTTTATTTTATTTTTTTTTTATTCAACTAGAACTCTGCTTTAAGTATGGGGGATATTTTATCCCTGGTTTTCATGAGACTAGTCCACCTAGACTTGTAGAAATGCAGACTAAGTGGTCCTGGGGTTTGAGCTCACCACATGGACAAGAAGAAATAGGAGAATCCTGAGTTTTGAGAATTATATCAGATAGAAATATATTTTCAGGGCTATCTGAAATACGAACTGAAATACACAGTTGTACCAAGTGATTTTTGTTTTGTAGAACTTGGTCCACATGGAGCCCAACAAACACTCTGCACCCCTACTCTCTCCTCTCCTGTCCTCCACACGCATACTCTTTGCTTCTCCTCACCGTTCCTCTCTCCTCTTTACCTCCCCCTCCTGTTCTCTTCTCCTCTACTCCAATACTCACTTCCTCTACCCTTCTCTCCCCTCTCCTTCCTTTTTATCTATTCCCAGCTTCATCTACTTTCCCCTTTCCTCTTCTTTTCCTTGCCTCCGCTCTCTTTCTTTCTTGTTCTCTCCTATTCTCCACAGTCCTCCCTTTCTTCTCCCTTTTCTCCCCTCCACTTTATTCTTTTGCTCGGAATAACATGCTTTGTGCCAAAAATGATTCTTTAAGCGTTTGTCTTACATATAAAGTTGGTATTTAAAGCATCAGAGTAAGGTATTAACACATGATCTAAAAATCTTTTTTTACAAGCTAAAATGGCAAATTTCAGGCTTAAAAAAAACTACAAAAATGTTCTAAAAATTATGTCTGGTCCTCCTAACTCTGACAAAAAGCTGGCAGATACTTCACCTGTTTTCTGCCATCTCTGTACCAACTGTACAGGTATGTGACCAATCAAATGCTCCGGTTCGTTTATCAGTCCATTTTTTCACTTCTACAATACAGTGGTCAGTAGGCTTGAGAAGGATGATATCTCTGAAACATCCCTGGGCCGAATAGAGATGGTGAATGATGGGACCAATGCTGATGTCAATCAACACATCTCCTTTAAAGTCACCTGCAGCAAAAGATTAAAAAACAAAAGAAAACCTTCAAGGAGAGCTGTGTTATAGTCTCTACACACATACAATTTGAATTCAAGACAGTTACAGCACAACTGTGTTCCACCAGAATATGCACAATTCCGACATGCATGACACACTCTGCTGCCTAACTGTACATTAAAGTGGTTCTAAAGTCAAGAGGTGTTTTACCTTAATGCATTCTATGAATTTAGGTAAAAAACTCCACACTACTTGTCTCCCGCCATCCACCCCTAAACACTCACCTGAGACCTCTCTCCATCCAGTGCTGTGCTCGTCTGCAGCAAAGCTGCTCTCTCTACCTGGATTCACAGGCTACACTGAGAACAATGAGAGCCATTGGGTCCTGCTGCTATCAGTCATGTTCAGGAAGGAGGGAGCTGGGGGACGTTGTCAAGCTATGCGGTGTTTTTCTATGGACCCAAACAGGCTGGCTAGGGTGTGCAGCTGCACAGGTGCATCCTGAGCACACGGCTTGCTGAGGGGGCACTCAAAAAAGAGGATAAGTTGATGATTGGTGGAGGACTCCAGAAGAGGAGGTAAGGGGCTGCTCTGTGCATGTTGCACAGAGAAGGTAAATATACCCGTTTTTTAAATTTAAACAAAAATTGACTTTACAACCACTTTAAAGACGTATTAAACCCAAAAGCAAACATTTATTATATTGCAGCTTACTATTTCTTAGATGTGATGCCTGCATTAGTTTCCTTTTTTGAGCTTTCTTCTATTCTTATCTGGTAATCCAACCAGTAAGTGTGTTATTTTTCCACAGAAAAGTTCTCTTGCATTTACAGGGATGAGACAGGGATTTAACACTAGAATGAGTGCTTAAAATGATCATCTTTTTTACATTTATATAAATCCTTTATCCCAAAAGGAAAAATCTTTGTTGTAACTGAATATAAAGTTTTAGCTGGAGTTCAGCTTCAATTTGTTAGTGTAGTTAACTTTGCTAGTACCTCCAACACTGACAGCGCTGCTGCCCAAATCTGCCCCTGTGCTCCTTTATCCAGAATGGTGTCTGTATAATACAGAAGATGTTTTGGCCAGATCACCAGGGGATAACAGAAGGGAAAAAAGCCTAAAAAAAAGAAAATTAATACAGCCACTAATGATCGGTAAACTGCAGTATGGTAATTTTTTTTATTTTGGGTTTAATATCACTTTAAATCTTAACATCATATGTGCGTCAGCTATAACACATTATGAAAATTATGCTGCACTATCAGTATAAATTAAGCAAGGAATAGGCATATATTTATTTTTTGTTTACTATCTTTTATTAAAGATTGTAAAACTATACAATAGTACCAGCATATCCAATAACAGAATATACAAAAACAGAGCAAATAAAGGGATACAATACTCATGATGACGCATATGTTATGCTTAATACAAACCAAGGCACAATATTTATCAGGTTTGACACGTGATAATAAGAAAGTAATAAGAGCAATGGAATGTCAACATATTTCAAAATATAGAACCCAGAATAGTCTAGATACAAAGATGTTATGCAAGACAAGGATATCGGGTGGCTAACAGTGTCTACTAGCAATGAGAAACCTAAAAGAAAGGGGGGAACAGCGTTTTAAAAGAAAAAAAAGGTGTTTTTGATCTCTCCAAGGGTGCCACTTATCTTTGAATTGTGCTTTTTGAGTTATCTAGGATGTGAAATAATTTCACCATTAGCATAATGACATCAACTCAGGATTTGACCTGTGACAAGGGTATGTCTTCCAGTGGAGTTCAATAACCCAACTGAACTGCAACACAGATTGCGTGGGTACATTTTTCTTGAACATGGGTGACTCCTGGGAGTGGGGCAAACAGTAGGCAATGTGCCATAGTCAATGAGACAGGGCTACCTATTAGGGTAAATGAAAAAGGATTGTTTTTTCCGCCAAACAGATTATGCCTTGTCACAGAACCAAAAGATGTTCGGGAGTATCCCAGGGAGAGAACTGCCACAGAAACATGTAGGGGGTACAGGAGGGTAGATAGTATGTAGTTTGACCAGGGGTTAGATACCCCCTAATCAACAGCTTCATGGCTGTTTCTCGAACACTAAGATACTGAGTACACTTTTGAAGGTTGGTCAAACATTCCTTCCAGTCCCCTGGAGAGAATGAAGTACCACTATCCTCCTCCCATTTAGTCATATGTGACAAGTTTTCTGGGGAACTGATACCAATCATATATTTATATAGATCAGAAATGAGGCCTTTGCCTCTAGGGGTGTTCTGGCAAATTTTTAAATATAATGATGGGGAAGCAAAGGTGGAATTGACTTGGAAGTTAGACCAAAACATTAGGTTTCAAGATATCCACCAAGAGAAGTAAAAGAGCCCAGAGAGTCCATAGATAAAGGCAGGGTTACCCAAAAACAAAGTCTGAGGTAGCGTAGATGAGGTCAGATTGAATTTTTGTTTATAGAGCTGCCAAAGTCTAAGGGATTGAGCAACTGTAATATTACGTGGGGTAGTGTCTTGCACTGAAATAGAAGTAGACCATAATAGGATCATCAAACAAAAAAGGCAAAATGGACTCACTTTCAAAACATACCCATGGAACTCTGGAGTCAAGGATGTTCCATTGGTCCAACTGGGAGAAACATGCAGATAAATAATAGAGCCAAATGCAGGGGATCCCCAAGCCACCTCTATGCTTACAGCAATATAAGGTGGATTTAGCAAAATGGGGATGGGAATTAGCCTATATAAATGTATTAATATTTTACTGAAAAGAGTCCAAGTATAATTTTGTTAGATGAACAGGGAGAGCCCTAAATACATATTGAAGTTTAGGGAAGCATTAATTTTGACTGCTGTTACTGATCCAAATTAGCCTGTAATTATGTGGTAGAGTATGGTCTTTTGAAGAATTGGGAATCAAGGACATGTTGGCCAACAGCATCTCCCCGGGGAATTGTCTACCTTGTAGAATATGATTAAATTGACAAGTAAGACAAGGCACCAACAGAGCTGCAAACTGCTTATAATATTGTGTGGAATACCCATCCAGTCCTGGAACAGAATTGCATTCAAGTGATTTAATAATAGAGAGGACTTTTTCTTCTGTACATAACGTATTCAAAATATCCTGCTGGGATGAGGAAAGGGACAGAAGTGGAATACCATCTAACATGGACATCACTGTCTGGGAGACTGGAGAATAACTTAGAATAAAAATCTTCAAATATTTTTTAAGTGTCTTGGGTTGAAAAGACCAGTTGTCCAGAGTCAATACGAAGTTTGTGAACACGAGTGGGCTTCACGATTTGGTTCAGTTTACGGGTAAACATAGCCATATAGGAGTAACTGGAGAGGAAGAGCTTAGCTTTTGACCAGCATTAAGCTTTTTCAGTTTTGTGGGACAGTAAAGAATTTAATTCCAGTCTTTTCTGATTGAACTGTAGTAATAGGGCCAGAGAATGTGAATTAGAGTGAGATTTATATAAGGCATCCAATTGGTTCGTAAGGGAAGAATTTTTTCCCAGATCTCCTTGTTAAAAGATGAGGCTAATTGAATGAGATGTTCACTAATGACTGCCTCATGAGCAGACCAAAGGGTCTCAGGAATATCATTAGTGCAAAAATAGTCATCAATTGCCTTAGCAATATCCTTTTCCAGAGCAGGATCAGTGATAAGTGATTATTTTATTCTCCAAGAGAATGGAGTGGCTCAAGAAGAAGCACATTAAGGTCCCGGAGTGGCCCAGCCAGTCTCCAGACCTTAATCCAATTGAAAATCTGTGGAGGGAGCTGAAAGTTTGAGTTGCCAAACGTCAGCCACCAAACCTTAATGACTTGGAGAGGATCTGCCAAGAGGAGTGGGCCAAAATCCCTCCTGAGATGTGTGCAAATCTGGTAGCCAACTACAGGAAAAGTCTGACCTATTTGATTGCCAACAAGGGATTTGCCACCAAGTACTAATTCATGTTTTGTGAAGGGGATCAAATACTTATTTCCCTCATGAACATGCAAATCCGTGCATAATTTGTTAGACATGCATTTCTTTTGAATTTTTTGTTGCTATTCTACAGTTGCAAGAAAAAGTATGTGAACCCCTTGGGATTTTCTGGAGTTTTGCATGAATTGGGCATAAAATGTGCTCTGAACGTCATCTAAGTCACAATAATAGAAGAACACAGTCTGCTGAACATAATACTACACAAACATTAGATGTTGCCATGGTTTAATTGCACATAACATGTAAACATTCACAGTGCAGGGAGGAAAAAGTATGTGAGGCCCTAGCTTAATGACTTCTACCAGAGGTAATTGGAGCCAGGAGTGAGCAAACCTTGACTCCAATCAGTGTGATGATATTGGATGTGTTGCTAACAGCTGTCTTGCCCTTAAAAAAACACACACCTGTTTTGGGTTTACTGGTTTCAAGAAGCACTGTCTGATGTGAACCATGCCTCGCAGAAAAGAGCTCTCAGAAGACCTACCATCAAGAATTGTTGACTTGCATGAAGCTGGAAAGGGTTACAAAAGTATCTCCAAAAGCCTTGATGTTCATGTGTCCACGGTAAGACAGACTGTCTACAAATGGAGAAAGTTTAGCACTGTTGCTACTCTCCCTAGGCGTGGTCGTCCTGTAAAAATGACTGCAAGAGCACAGCGCAGAATGCTGCATGAGGTAAAGAAGAATCCCAGAGTGTCAGCTAAAGACCTACAGAAATCTCTGGCACATGCTAACATTTTTGTTGACACATCTACAATAAGGAAAACATTAAACAAGAATGGAGTACATGGGAGGACACCACGGAGGAA